CGAATGCTACCGATGATTGAGATCTCTCCCAAGGTGGTCTCAAGTCCTGCTGAGTCATCTTTTTGATCTTCTCCAGTTGGCTTTGCTTTTAACTTGAGGATTTGCTTGACGGTTCGCGATTGCGGGGTCCCTCTGGAGTTTTCTGGGCAGATGCCTCCCTCAGCTACCTCGCACAGTGTAGACTTAGAAGACTACCATTGGCTGCCGAACTGCACTGCAGTTTCAGGCGCGAAAGACGGAGCTTCTGTAGTAAGGACCCCAGTTATGTTGGTACAGTAGATGTGCGAACTCATGAAATGTCACCCAAAATTTCGAAATGCGTTCTCGTTTCGAAAAGATAAATTAAGTAGTGTTGTAAAACTAATCACGATGCAGCATAAATCTATAATGATCCAGTTACCTCAGGGTGTCGGCTTTCGAAAGAACTTATTTTCGGCTGCATGCAAGATCTATACTCTGCAAAAATGACAACTTAAGTAGCATGCAATTTTCTCACTGATTTTCGATGCCCTTGAAAATTCAATTATACTGCATGGAAAACATGCATAAAAATATTCATTCTTTTACTTATTCGGTAGACAATCACGTCTTCTTCCAATTTCATACGCAAAAAAGAGTATAATTCCGTTTTAAAAAAGTTTCTAATTGTGAGATTTTTTAATACCGTTGAATGGCCGTTCATGAAACGTCATGTATCTGCATCTACGAATGTGGCTTGTAAAGTTAACAATATTGCTCAAATCCACTGCTTAATTTTATGAAGCTCATATAGTCTCCTCTTAAAACCGTAGAGAAATTCAGGGTTTTCCTTACACGGAAAATATACAGCTTGTAGTTTTGAAACCCTGAATGCAAGTGTAACAGCAGGTCGGGTTCAAAATTATTGGGGACTTAGAAAAGTTTTTTAAAAACCGAATTATACTCTTATTTTGAGTATGAAATTGGAAGAAGACGTGATTTTCTACCGAATAAGTAAAAGAATGAATATTTTTATGCATGTTTTCCATGAAATATAATTGAATTTTCAAGGGTATCGAAAATCAATGATAAAATTGCATACTACTTAAGTAGTCATTTTTTGCAGAGTATAGATCTTGCATGCAGCCGAAAATAAGTTCTTTCGAAAGCCGACACCCTGAGGTAACTGGATCATTATAGATTTATGCTGCATCGTGATTAGTTTTACAACACTACTTAATTTATCTTTTCGAGACGAGAACGCATTTCGAAATTTTGGTTGACATTTCATGAGTTAGCACATCTACAGTATGTGGTGATTTTGGGAACTAAAGGCTTTTGGGATGCCGTCTTCTTGACTGCATAGCCGTCGCCTGGATGAAATACAGTAAATCTGACTAACAGCAGAGCTTTCGTGGGGATGTCACGTCGGCAGATATTTGTTGTGAGGCCAAAAGTACGTGTTAGAGAAAAAGAAGGTAGAAATATCACGGCAGATCATTCAACACATCTCAGACATGCACAGACGTACGAAAAATCCCCAAAATCCCAGACTCCCAGTCGTGTAGCCTAACTTGCTTTATCGGTGATTGGAACGTGTACCGTCGCCTCCTGCAGTCTGGGATCCTGCATGCCCTACGCGCATGGCTGATTCATTATGATACGTGAGGAAGTGGTTTGGACTTTTAAAGAAAATTTATCACACATCTACATCGCGAAGGAGGAGAAGAAGAAGAAGAAGAAGAAGGAGGAGGAAGGTGACGATAATCCCATTCCTTTATGTCTCCTGCCTGAGTATGGAGGCTGTCCAGGCTGAGATCTTTCGGGAAAAAATGTAACACTGCGAAGACCCTTTATTACGGCGACGATTCATTTTCCGCCGAATCAACAGACATTAGGGGAGAGAATGAGAAGTTGA